AACTATGCCCGTGGGCACTACACCATTGGGAAAGAAATCATCGACCTGGTTCTCGACAGGATCCGCAAGCTGGTGAGTGAGTCTCTCGCCAGCGAGGCTGATCTGGGGCGTGCCCACAGCACTGTCTGGGGCACCAGTCTCGGCAGGAGAACGGCGCTGACAGTTGTTTGTGCCGACCCCTGTTCTGCCGGAATTGGCTCCCTAGCGAACATCTCCTGTTCCGGACAAGAGCGAACCCGTCTCCCCTGTTCAACAGCGGAGCAGGGAGGCGCTGAGCTCCTGTGGTCCAGGAAGCTGGGTAATGGAGTGCAGTGAGTGTGCTGGCGAAGGGAGGGATGTGGACTTGCATTGGCCCCAGACCCAGTCTGTGTCGGGGAGGTACCAGTCCACGCTGGAGCAGGCGGTCGTGTTAAGAGCGCACTCTGGAAAGCGGTGGTGAAAAGGCATCTCTGCATTCCCAGATTGGGTCAGCGGGTGTGTAAAGAGTTTTGCCTCACTTGTCTAGCGTAGATGAGCCCTTTGGTACAGTGACTATCCCGTCTTGGATCTCCCTGATGGGAGGGTTTTGGGGTGTGAGGGGGGGTGGGGTGTCTGCACCCACATCTCGCAGGTATTGGTAGTTTTGGATTTAATGCAGGGTTGGAACAGTCTGGGCCCCCCATGGGACAGGGCATGAAAGGAGCAGACAGGCTTATTCACCTGGCTTGGTTTCAGCCTGGCTAGTTCTCAAACTCCCTAACAGCTGCCTGCCCTGCCCCACTTCCTTGTGGGGAGCCATCTGCCACTGTGTGACGCTGGAGGGAAACGACCTCATCTCCACCCTCTTCCCCAGGCAGAGAATCAAGGGTAATAGGCGGTTGGGTGTGACAGACTCGGCTCTGAAGAGCTGCTGTCTCTAGAGCGGTGAGACATTGCTGTGGGCTCCTTGCGGAGGTCTGAGCCCCGAACCCACTGCCTCTTACAGGAGGTAAGGTTAGGAGCCAGTGAACTGCCAAGGCGGGGGACCAGCTGTCAGTCTTGTGGCCAAAAGGCTTGCCAGGGGCAGATACTTCTGTCCTGGCTGTTTGGCTTTGCAGTACCTGTGGGTACATCTATACTTACCCCCTGGTTCAGCGGCAAGCCATCAATCTTCTGGGATCAATTTATCACATCTTGTCTAGATGCAATAAATCGATCCCAGAAGTGCTCGCCATAGACGCTGGTAATCCTGCTCTGCGAGGGGAGTCAATGGGGGAGCCTGCCTGCCGTGTGTGGACCAGCCCGTAGTCTCGGTTTCATTCTGCGATCAAAGAGCAGGGCTGGCAAAGATGGCCTGGGTCAGGCCCTGGCACTAGCTAGGCTTGTGTGCCCAGGAGTTCCGTGCATTTTCCAGAGGCAGCTTGTAACTTTTTTCCCCTCTAACAGGCCGACCAGTGCACAGGTCTCCAGGGCTTCCTGGTCTTCCACAGCTTTGGAGGTGGCACTGGTTCTGGGTTCACCTCCCTGCTGATGGAGCGTCTGTCCGTTGACTATGGCAAGAAGTCCAAGCTGGAGTTCTCAATCTATCCTGCTCCTCAGGTCTCCACCGCAGTGGTGGAGCCCTACAACTCCATCCTGACCACCCACACCACCCTGGAGCACTCGGA